ATTATTACTTTATAAATAAATTTAAATATATTCAGTTTCTTCTTGGAAATTCACTTCAGCAGATTTGCTCTGTTTTTGTCTTTGTGTGTTACTTTTAGTCAGCCTATTGCTGCTTTTAGCTTTAGCTACCGTATTCCTACCAATAGCTTTTAGCTTGATTTTTTTTACTTTAACATTTAGCTAGCATTTTGCTAATTTTAGCTATTAGCTAAAGTTTAACAAATTGTAGCTTTAAGCCATCATTTTGCTTCTTTTAAATTCTAGCCAACTTTTGACTCTTTAGCTATCCCTTTTATACTACTTTAGCTGTCAACTATCTTTTGCTAAATTTAGCATTTAGACAGTATTTTGCTACTTTTAGCATTTAGCTACTGTTTAGCTCAAGAGGGCTATTAAATATGGTTTTGTTCTCTTTAAAATATAGCTAGTGTTTTGTTTCTTTTAGCTGTAGGCTTTGTTTTATTTTTGTAAAAAGAATGTGACTAATTATGAGATCTTTTCTCATAATTATGAAATAATATCTCATAATAATGACATCTTATCTCATAATTATGAGATCTTTTCTCGTAATTATGAGATCAGGAGTCAAATATTTTTTTATTAGGTGAATGCAATGCTCTTCCGTAGACTCTCACCTTTAAGAGGTTATGATTTGTATATTTACTAACATAAAAACAATTATATGAATGTACCTTTTTTAATATCTCTCTGGATGGCAAAATTAGAAATTTGTTGATATTAAAAAAAGATTTGTGGAAAGCTTCAGGAATGTAAAGTGTTTTTTAAAAAGCACCCCTGGAATAAAAACCTGCAGCAGCTTGGTCCTGCTACAACCCAGTGGAACACAGTCAAAGCATGGGATCCCTGTGTGACATGAGCTGAAGTTTTCATTGTCTTTATGTAGTTATTAGCCTCTGAGGCAGCCAAGAGAGAGGAGTTAGGGTTGTCCGTCAGACTGTAATGTCTCCACACAACAGCTCACACCTAACCTGACAGGCACACACGGCGCTGACAGCTCACTAACAGCCCACCATTGTTCCCTCTCAAATGGCCAGCACACAGCTGTTAGCACCAACAGAAACAGAGGGAGGATCTGCAGATCTCTGTCAAACTGAGGCACATGTGCAGCTTGTATGCGACATATTTATCAGGACTGGATCACAGAGAGAAAACCTTAGATTAGAGCGTTTTTAAAATATATTTATATTTATAAATCAGTGCTGACTCCCTCAGAAAAGATAAAAAGCCTGAATGATTAAAAGCTTTTATGTGCCAACACAGCCAGCCTGATTTAGGACAAGGGAAAAGGCAACATCTTAAACGAGCTGTTATGTGGGTGACAGTGAATAGCACTGCAGAATGTATGTTTTTATCTGCATAAAAGGCTTTTATAAAAAGTAATCCATTACTGGTACCATTTATCTCTATTTCCCATCACTTTACCAGGGCTGTTTTGTTCGGGACAATTTTTTTTTCCCAAAAAGCACATATGATCACCTAAATGTACAAACATTATTTTATCAGTGAGCAGGGGAGAAAATGAAGCTATAAATAGAAACTGAAAAAGCTAACAGCTAACTTATGCAACTGCTGACAAACAACATTTGTGCAAAAGTCTCCAAAATGTTTCGAAATGTTTTGAGTTTACTCGTGTGAACCACAGAGAGTTTGAGTTTTATAAATTTTCTCTCAAACCAGCTCAATTTTGTTTTTAGCATCTCTAGAGCACTACAGCGGTTACCCCTCTGTCTCTTCTGTCAGATATCGTCCAGATATCTATCTATCCAGATAACATCTAAGATCAGCAAACGATTTTAAAGACAAAAATTTCCCCTGAATGTTAAAAATCTGACTGCATGGTCGACTTTAGCTTGACCAAACACTCAGTTTAACTAAAAACAAAATTTGCCTTTTTTCATCGCAATTTATCATAATTTTAAGTCTTCAACTCGTCTCCAACAGTTGAAACCCAATGAGATATTAAATGTACTTAAATATTAACCATGTTTTAAATAAATGAAGATATTTTCGTTTTCCAAAAATAGTTGGCTAAATTTTTCAGGAAACACAAAAAATGCCTGTCGTGGAAATGATTTACCAAGAATGCAGAAACACATTGGAATAAATGTACAGAAAGTCTGCGCGTATGGTAGTCAAAAATGATTTAATTCCGAGCAACAACCCAGCGGTCAGTCAATCAGGAAATCGGCTGAGTTGTGACCGCTGGGTTGTTGCTCAGAATTAAATCATTTTTGACGACCATACACGCAGACTTTCTGTGCATTTATTCCAACGTGTTTCTGCATTCTTGGTAAATCATTTCCACGACAGAATTTGGCGTTGTCGAAAGGCAGCTACGAGGACCGGAAGATTGCCCGCAGCAGTCAACTGTTTTTCTCGGAGGTCCATCGGAAGATGGAGGAAGGTTTTTCTGACAAAGCTGACCTGTTTTTCTCCGCTGATCATGTCTGGGTTTTGTGATCTGTCCTTACTTCGGCCGCTGTGGGTAACCTTTTGGGACTGGAGCTGAAAAAAGAACCTGTCTGCGGCAGAAACACAGTGAGCTAATATTTTCATTAGCACCTTATGCTAAAGAGCTACGGCAAATTTTTCGGCCCACACACATTGAAATTATAATTGTCAGACGCTGGTCTGGTTTTCTGCGGCTGTATTGACCCTAGCTGAGGTAGATGTGGGAGCGATTCATTCCATGTCGAGTCAAAAACGGGGAGCTTAGCTTTCTGTTTTAATGTAGCCAAGAGGACAGTGTTCATCTTAGGTGAGTGTAGGCAGGTTAAAAATGCTTAAWCTGCTGAGGGAAAATGTAATTTTCCATCTTGTTTCTATTGAGGAGACATTTGTAGGCTAGAATGTCATTCCAAGTGACGGCCGTCCCGATATTCGTTTGAGAATGTTGCATAGGTAGTGCACTGCGCACGAGTTTTCAGCCAAAGAACGCGACCAGCGGGCTTCTTTTTGAGCACAGGCCATGGTAAACAAATATGGTGCTGAAAGCCGTGAAAAGGTATGGAGTCTGATAAGTTGGCTTCCCGGACGATGGCCGTTTTCAGTTTTAAAACAGCTCGGCCGCCTTCCGGGATCGCTTATTGGAACGTGATTCAAAGCTTAAAATCAAGAAGAATGATAAAGGTTGTTTTGAAACATTTTTAATAACATGTTTTAGTCTCTCTGATTTTCGGGACTATTAAATGGAGCGGATTGGTGTTTTCCTGTTTCGGCCACGCAACGTCACCTCCTGTAGGCTACAAGAGAGGTCAGTCTGTTTGCCCAGACGTCAGGACTCCGGCAAAGGACTGACCTCTCTTGTCTGAGTATGTAACTCTTTGGGCTAAGAGCCCAGTTATTGGCTGGGCAAACAGACTGACATTGATCATAAGATATACGAGTACTGGACAGGGTCAAGGTGAAACAGATAGATAATTAGTCCATAACACTGCCATACATTCTTTTAGAAACTGTTTGTTTGTTTGTTTATTTATTTATTTATTTATTTATTTATTTATCTATTTATTTATTTAAATAAGCCATAGAAACAGTTTTTGATTAAACAATTTTTTTGCCTTTCCAGCAGGGCCGACCCGTGGCACAGGCAATACAGGCAAATGCTTAAGGTGCCGTCCCTCTAGGGGGCGCCACAAATGGAGCACAAAATATGTGTTTTAATCAATAAAAGAATCAGAGAGCATCAAGAAAAAGATCCAACATCAGAAAAGCAGAGACAGAGAATCAGCCTGAGCTCGATCCAAAGTAATCCTACCTTCTGTCGAATTTCTTCTTCCATCTTGATGGGGGATCCGAGCTCGGCCACCTGTCGGACCCCCTCGCTGGCGTAGCCTCCGTACTCCCACAGCACATAGCTTCTGGAGTGGGATGCACCAATCAGAGCGGACCAGTGGTTGGCTCGTCCTGAAGACACGGGGACATGACTGAGTCGTTTATATTCTTATTATTAGTCCAAGATGAAGATGGTTCACTGAATGAGAGCTGTAATAATGTTGCTGGGTTCAGACTTGTTGCTGCAGCTTTCTCCTCTGACTGATACAGAACATTTTCAGTCACTCTGCTGTCAGGAGAGAATCTGGGACTGAATGTGTCTGAAGACATCAGGACTGGTGTTTTTGTCTGGTGGGACTACAGTAAAAACTTACTGAAACCTTCTACATTAAGAAATGCCTATAGGGGCGGAGCTAGACTTTATTTTCAGGGGGGTGGCCACAGTGTTTTTTAGGGGGGGGTTCATACAAATAACGAAAACTACTCTCAATTTAAAAATTCAAGATGGCCACCACAGCTAATTTCAAATTACACTAAAGCAGTTGTTTTAAGTAATACAGAACTAAATTGTGTGATCGTAGCTAAGAATGATCCAAAAACCATGCCGATAGCTAGTCCCAGTTTAAGCTAACCATAATGTTAACAAAGAGCTATAATTTAGATGTTTTTAGATGAAAAAAGCTGAAAATTAGTGCAGCAGAAGCTAAAAACAATCTTTACCAAATTAAAAATGCTAATCAAAAGTTCAAGATGGCCACCACAGCTAAATGTAAATGTCTAATTCATTCATTTTAAGACGTCTTCATCTGAAATTTGGTGCGGTGAAGTACTATCCTAAACACGTCAACTGCTAATCCTAAATAAGCTAACCGCTAATGCTACTGCTAGTTTTACAAAAGGCCATGTATTAGCCATTTTTAAACAAAAATTTGAAAATTATCGTAGCAGTAGCTGAGAAATAATCTTTAACAAAATCTAAATTTAAAGTCAAAGATGGCCACCAAAGTTAAATTTAAATGGCTATTACTCCAACATACAGTACAGTATTTTTGTACTCGACAAAGTTTTTGAGGAACTTTTCTAGTAGCTCCATGCCATCACTATCTTTTTATTAACTGGTTCTCAAACACAGAGCATGCATAATTGTTGTTTTATATTAATTCAAAGATTCAGAAAAGGTTTTTTTTCCCCACACACAGATATTTTACCACACAATACAGCTGCTTAATGGATTTTTACCACTCAGCTTAGAAATGTCACCTGCAATCCAAACCCACTTGTCAATTATTTACTGGCTCCGCCCCTGTAGGCACAGGCGCCGGCTCAAAAGAGAAGATGGAGAAGCTGTTTTTTAAAATGGCAAACTCATGTTTTTGCTCTCCCCAAATTTTTGACTCGCACGTTATCACTCCCAGCAAAAAGTCAAAGCATGTAGAGTTAATTCATTCTATGATCCATTAGCATAGCATCTCTGTTGGGTTTTAGCCATTCATGTTCACAACAGCAGCAATTGTTTTCTCTGACACTGAAGCTTTTTGAGTCCAGGTCTTACATTGGAAATCAACAAAGCTGCAATTTGACCAATTTGTCAGACTTGGTCCAAGAAAACACTTAATAAAAACCTTACAAAATTAACAACACACCCAATTCTATAGCTGCAACTGCACGCCCGCTGTTTGAACTCACTTGGATAGTCCTTTGGATGTACTTTCTCGGACCAGTTGCCGTAAAAAGTGAGTCTGTACTTGGCGGTTCCACAGGCGCAGCACTCCATGGCGGGCACTTCGGTGACATCGCCCAGCACGTGCTCTGCAGGGAAACAGGAAGTGAGCACAGCCCTGGAGTTACCACGCAAACATCTCCTGCTTTCTGGCATAAATTAAAAAACAGCTGACTAGAATTTAGAACAAACGAGAACATCCCAAAATAAAAAATAAAAAAAGGATTTAAATGACACATTAGTCACAACACAGACTCATGAATATTCAACGTTTACTCTGGACTAATGTTTTGGAAAGACGGGTCAAGGTGAAAATATGAATATTTATGAATCATCCAATTATACAGCAGAAACTCTCTCCTGGCATCCTATTTAAAGCAGGATGAGTGAAACTTAAAAAGTGTCCAACTTTGGTTGTTTTGATTGGTTTGGAAAATTAGACTCATCGTTTAAGCGTACATTAAAGGAGACCTATTATGGGGGTCCTAGAACAAGTTAGGATCCATCTGTGGGCTGTACAAAACATGTTCATTTGATTTAATTCACAAAATTAATCTTAGATAATGAAATTTCACCTTTTCAGTTCTGCCTGTTCTTCAGCTCTCTTCAGAATCTGCTGCTTTGCATAAGTCGTTATGGAAACCCCCTTCCAACCTTTTGTTTACATTAGCTCCGCCCCCCACCAGAAGTTTACTTTCAGTTTCTTTTCAGGTGAAAGTAGATTTTTCCAAAGTAGTTTATGGTGAAATTATTTACACAAACTTTCTTTAACATACATGTCAACCTCTTCGGACGTGCACCTGTATGAAAAGCCTCAAAAATCCGTAAATTTTGCTAAAAAATCCGTACAACTCTCACCCGCGGGGTTCTGTCGACATGAGCATCTGCTGCAGGTTGAAAGGAGGAGAGCGGAAAAAGCTCAAAACTTATTTCTAGCGGCAGAAGAGGTTGGAAGATGGCTGTTTAATGTATGCTTTAATATTGCTAGAACATTGCCATCAAAAATAAAAACAAAATTAAATAAAAATAAAATTAATCCACACATCTCTGCCCTCCATGACTGTGAAGCAGTAGAACCGTCCTGTGAAGAAGTGGGCGGAGTCTCTGCATGGGTTACGAGGAAACAAGCTGGGCTCAGGTTGGGGTGGGCTGAGTCCGGCCTGTGACATCACAGGCCGCGGGATTTGAAAACTTGACATTAATATACATGAAAAATACATTTAAATGTACCCCTGGGTGCATTTTTTTGGTCCTGGGACTGTTTTTTTATGAAGTACAGTTGAGTAAAAAAAATCTTTAAAAAGGGGAATTTTGCATAATAGGTCCCCTTTAAATATTTGCCTCAGCTGAGCGAGTCTTGTTGATCGTTATTATTTTAAAAGAATGTTTTGGAGTCAATCCTTCAAATCCTTCAGTCCAAACTTTCTTTTCCCCAATCAGCTCCACTGGCTTTTTACAGTATATATATATTTTTAAAAATCTCAAATAGAGTGGGAGTTCATCTGCACCAGAAGGCAGGAAAAAAACCTTCACTCGGAGCCGGCTATAATAGCAGCATGATGACCAGAGAAGGTTGAAAAGACGAGCGGCAAAGTGGAAGAGGAGGCAGCTGCCATTACCTTTCTCACACAGACGAATGGTGAGAGACCCTTCATCCTGGAAATAAATGATTCTTTTCTGGACAATGCTGGCCCTGGAGACACAGACAGAACCAGTTATATAAAGGAAGAGTAAAGATGGAAAAGGAGAAAAAGTTGAATAGTCAGAGGGGTGCAAAAGGTACATGAAATAGATAATTTTGTAGTTTTTTTGTCTGTATCTGAGCCGTGTAATCCTCAGTGAGGGAGGGGAGGTAATGGCTTCCCTGAGGTTTGATAATGGACACAAAGTACACATCTTTTCACAGGAAAAACATCCTATTCTCCAAATCTCATGACACAATCATCCTGCTGCAATAGAAGCAATCACGCCCACGGATATGAAAAAGATAGAGCAGGAATCACAATCAGACGACAGAAAATAGATCTTTAGATGGCCTTTAGACAAAATCAGATTCTAACTTATGAGCCAATACAGCCTGAAAATTAAACTGTCCGAGCTGAAATGGCCTGTTTTACCTCCTGCTTTAACATTCATCTCTCACATAACCCAGATAAGAGCCTAAATACTGTTTACTGCTTCTCTCATTGTTCATCCGACCAGATAAAGAGGATGAGGAGGATAAATCTGAGCAACTCTCAGGTCTGCTGACCTTGCTAAACTTTCACAATAAGCTCCTCAGACAAAACAAATTTGTAGCATTTTTCAGTTTTATCAAAATAAGTTTGTTGAAATCACATTTCTTTAATATCCTCGGAACAGTTTTGACACTATGTACCTATTTTTTTTTTCTGTCTGCAGCTACATTTAGCTTTAATAGAGTGTTGCAAGGTAAAAAAAAAAAGACATTATAGTCAATAATTTAAATGCAATGTTTGGATATATTCTCACACAGGACAGGGTAAAACCTAAGAGTTTAAAGACAAAGATACTTGTTTTTCTTTCTGTTATCATGAGCAAATTAAAATTACAAATTACAGCCGTTCAACTCCCTTCCGAGGGTTACGCTTTTCAACCCTCAGGTCTTTGTGAGCCTAGTTCAAAAGAGAGATATTTTGATGGCATAAAATTAACTTCTTGTCCTCAATAATGCTTCATTTTAAGTTTTGGAGAGTTTAAACCTCAGACTTTCTCCTCTTAAAAATCAGCCTCTCTTATTTAACATTATTAGCTTCCTTCACCCTCCTTTCTCTCTCAAACTAAAATATTTTTTTCCTCAAAGTGGACAAATTAAAATAACTACTTATCTGACATAAACCTTGGTGCAGTTTTCTATTTACCACAGTTGGTTAACAGGTTTAAAACAGGTGTAAAAACTACTTAAAAAAAAGGAGAAAAAAATCTGTCATCAAGTTAATGGAAAAAATGTATTTCCAGAGAAAATAACAATTTAGGAAGAAAAAATCCTGTCTTATTTCACAGAACCCAGCATGTTTGTTTTTTTTTTTAAAGTTTTTATTTCTTTAGAAAAATACATTTTTGCCACTCAGGCCACTCAGAGCAGCTCTAACTCCAAACTTCAAAGAACAATATTTCGACTCAGGTGGGCTTTAAGAGAAACTGATGCCTTCTGTCTCTGTAAAGCGCCTTTTCACGTCAGCCTGTTGAGAAATAAACATAAAGCTGTACTTTTTTATGAACGCAGTCTTCACCTCATACAGTACAGGGAAATACAAGCAAATGGAAGCGAGCCAAAATGTCTGACAGTGGAGACGGAGGAGAGAGTGGCGACATTAGGAAGGACTTATCGCTTCTGTTGCTCCTATAAATCTGAGCCGGGCTGAACGCTGCAGTAAAATCTGCAACAACGCTTGACTGCCTGGGCGTGAAATTGAAAAACAAAAGTGAAATACAAAGAGTATATCTGAGCTGCTCCTGATCATTTTAAACTAATTTTCCCATTTATTTAAATAAAAAACGTAAAAACTTACTTTCAGTGTTGCACAGGTACAACTCTTACTTTGAAATGAAGCAACTGAGATAAAATGACTTGTTGTTGTTTTTATCTAGAATTTCTGCATATATATATATATATATAATT